ATTGATGTGTTATTTGATCACGACTACGTATCGACATTGCGAAATCTTAGTCCATATATTGATGAAGTAGTAACGTACATCAGCGGATTTATAGTTAGGAAGCTATTAAAAAATAAAAGTATGTGCGACACATGTGCACCATTTCTGACAGCCAGTAGCCAAGATATGTCGAAATGTACATTGATTGAAATGAAAACACGGGGAAGGTTGATGTACCCTTCACGTGACGTTATTGCAATAGCTAGAACAACTGAGAGTATTATACGCGCAAATGATTCCATTCTTTTTACACAAAAAGATATTAAAGAATTTTTAATAACAAAAACGTTTGAGGCAGTTAGTATCAACCATGTAGTATTTAACGACAATATCATGACAGAACATGTTAAGAATCAAGGAATTCTTGATAACCATAAAACTCAATTGATCAAAGCTATTATTAAAACATATGTAATTCTACGTTTATTTCATGAAGGAAAACGCGCAACAGACATTGGAAAAAACGAATATATTCGACAAAAATATTCAAAACTAATTTTATTTAAAAACCAATAAAATTGTAATACAGTGTAATATAAAATAAATTCACCATATTATATAAACTGTACTTATTGATCTCCTCAACACTGATTCATTCGTTATTATTCATTTTATGATCATTCATTATAATATATTTATTTATGCATCAATTATTTAACCCCATTATATTGATTAATTTATCTTTTATTTATTCACTTATTTATTTATTTCATTTATTTATGGATTTCTTATGATACTTAATTCATTAATTGATTCATTCACCGATTATTCATTCCGATTCGTTCATTTATTCGTTTATTAATTTAATCGTTTATTTACTTTTATTCATTTTTTGATTTATGCATTTCATCATTTACTTATTTATTTATTCTCTGATTTTTTCAATGAATTATTTACTTATTTATTCATTTAAAAAAACCCTTAACTGTCTTAACATGATTGATTGTGAGGTATATATATGTACACACACACACAATGTGCTTGTATGCGTCAGTAAATGGCGCGCATGCGCACTTTCGAGCAGTCACTCACAAGAGAGAGGCAACTACGATTTTCTTTCTCACTTCCTCCGGACACATTTCAGTCTGCTATTCCGCTTCCATTTCTATATGTTCTAAGGTTATAACTGGTTCAGAAATGTAAAAATCATACCGCTAATTTGTTATCCGAAAATCCGCTCGTCATGGCGACCATCTCGTGCACAATTACTTCTACCATTTCCTTCACATGGGATGAGCCGTGAATACAAAATAAACCTCTACGTAAGCTATTTTCAGACGCGACTTTCAAGCCATTTGGTAAGACTGTGATCAGCGTCGTTTGATGCTCCTCTTTCTCAGTCGAATAAACAGCTTTCGGCAAATTCGGAATGGGTTCTGACAGCGGTGGAAATGATGTAACGGTCTTCTTCTGATTCTCCTTCAAAACAGGGAGTATCCTCTGGGAGATTACACTTTTTCCAGGTATTGAAACATTGCAAGCGGAAACTGAAAGATTAAAAAAACAACGACATGTAAAATGTATTAAATTCCTTTCCTTTCTC